GTGGTGCTGTTGGTGGCTGTGGTGGTGGCGGGGTGGTGGTTGTGGCTGTGGTGGTGGTGGTGGTTGCGTGGTGCTGTTGGTGGTGGTGGTTGTGGGTTGAGGCGGTGGTGGTTGTGGTAGTGGTGGCTGTGGTGGCGGTGGTAATCGTCGCTGCGCCCCCGCCGTCGCCGGCGCCAGCGCCAGCGCCCCTGTGGTCCACCGCCTCCTCAATTCAGGAGCCACGCGAGCGTGTCCTAAAAATAGGAATCACGAACAGGTGCCACGATATCTCAGATAACCGTCAGCTCGTTCCCCACAGCGTGGAAAGCATTTGTTATTGAGTTCCCTGCTCGCGGGATAAGTTTCACCCGCTTTCATGGCATATGCGTGCCATTATTTTGGTTTGTTGCACGCGTTGTACTTCAGACGCGTAGGTGCGCATAAAAATCCTCACGATCCTCCTCGTGCTCCTCCCCTTTGTACACCTTTTCTCCATCTCCTCCTCCTCTTCCTGCCCCTCCTCCTCCTCCTCCTCCGCCTCCTTCTCCTCCTTTTCCTCCTCTTCCTCCTCCTCCTCTCCCCCCCCCTCCCTCCGTGTTCCTCTCTTGGGCGGCGGGGGGGGGCGGTCCTGGAAGTTCTCGAAGGCGCGGCGCCCTCCTCTTCCTCCCTCGTTCCCTCCCTCCTTCGGTCCCTCTTATTCCTACGTTTTCTCGCTATCCTTTTCCGCCTCTTCATCTTTCTTTTCCCTTCGCCTTTCACCCCGCCGTCGCCGCCGTCCCCGCGCGGGCGCAGTTGGAAAACAGGGCGGTTGCAAAGGTGGCATTTGTTCTCTACGAATTTTTTAGCTTCTTCGTTTGCCGATCAATATCGAGCGCTGCCTCAAGCTTATAATAGCACACGCTCTCAAAGCAAAGCTGCGACACATTTTGCAACGCGCGCTTCAGCGTTTTGTTTGCCGACTCGTCATCCCATGCACTGTAAGAGGCAGGGTTCCCTAAATCAGCAGCTCGGCGGATCAGATGCCACATCAGATGTCTCTTGGGGGTTGCCAGTTCCACGATATCCAGCGTGTTCTCACAGAAGCATTTGTATCGATCCAGCAACTCCTGGAATAGCACGAAAAGACAATTAGGAGGACGGGGGCGGGAGGATTAGGAGGGGGATCTGGAGGGAGTAACGGGGGACGATGGGGGAGGAGCACATGGGGGGATGGAAGTGAGGGTGATGAGTAGGGCGAGGAGGACGGGGAGGAGGAGGTGGATGCCAGGGTGGCCAACGCGGGGGTGGGAGGGGTGGAAGGAGGAGGGGGGATAAGAAGGATCAGCGGGGGGACCAGGGGGAGGGTGGATCACCAGGGGGCCCAAAAGGGGGGTGGGAACGGGGATGAGGGGGAGGAGAGGGCAGAACGAGGAGTAGGAAAACGATGACGAGGATTGGTTTCGCTACGCGGGCCCCAGGGCCCCTCCAACAAAGACTACGGATAAGAAGAAACGACATCGCACATGTGCAAACACCCCCCACCGTGTTGACGTCACTGGCGCTGATGAGAGAGAAATCGCACCCCCAAGCCAAAGGTTTCACAAGCTGCATGGGCGGGGGACCGACCGTGCCACCGACGCTGGAGGGAGAGGTCCTGGCAAGCTGCTGGGCCGATGTTCACAGGATTGGTTCTGCACGTAGAGACAAAGCCTAGCAGCGCGTCGATGGCCCGTCGATGACGATCGGCGTCTCGCATTCGCAGCTCGTATTTGGCCCGCGCATCTTTCATGACAACGAGGAGGCCATGTGTTTCCGCTGCCTTTGTTTTGAGAACTCGTTTGCTGGGATTGCCTAGCATGGAAGGGACTAGATCGGCAAGTCTCGTCAGATTTTCGGCGGGGTACAACGCCGCCCTCGTGCGGTACCAATCGAACAGCTCAGTCCTCAAACATTGTATCGCAACAAAGGTGTGTTCGCTTCCGCTGCTTGGCTGGCCACCCCACACCCCTGCCAACAAGAGCTTCCACACCAAGACTGTCACGTAATGTTTCATCACCCCCAAGTACAGACAGTGAAGCAAGTCATAACATATTACTCTGTTCGGCGTTATTCCCAACTCCTCGTCCCAGATCGGGCACCGATGCATAAGAATCGTCTCCTCCGACCTTCGCCAAAATACAACCTCTGCTGTATCACCAGGTGTTGGGCACAGACCCTCGAAAGCTGCAACGTCGAGCAGCTCGGCCGTGGGCTCGAGACGGTCGCCTTGCCGAAGATTCAGCGTAGGCACGTCTCGAATCAAGCACCTGCCCAAGCCACTTGTTTTCCGTTTGTCGCACTTCAAAAGCTGCGTGATCAATTTAACATCGTCGTGGCCAATCACTACGCGGAGCTCGCATTGCTTGCGCGCTGTATCAAATTCTGCATCTGAATTCTCGTGCCAGGGTGAATAATCCATTGATATGCCACCGTGGACGTGTAGTAGATCTGGGGGCGAAGCACAACAGGGGCATGGCCGAATGCTGCTCCTCCAATTGGGAACACCAAGTCGCTCACACATCTCGGCCCAGTCGGCCCGAAGCTGGGCCAGTATCCCTCGGCACTGTAACTTCTTACCAGCCATCGATTGCCGATGACTGTCCTGGTTGTGCCACTCGCCCTGGTCGTGCCTCTGGCTTGGCCAGGTCCCCGACGCAAGAGCGCTGAAGCACCAATGAATCCATACCCACAGCGCGTGGAACGAGCACCATCCACGACATCCGCATCTGCAGACCAATCGCTTGCGAAACACAGCAACGATGTGGCGCGAGCCACTGATCGCATTAGTGACCCATACCCCGACGACGCTGCCGGTGATGGAGTACGGGACGCCGTCCAGATACAACCCAATTGGCATGGGAGGGTCGTCAACTGCTTGCACGACGGGGTTGCTGTAGTAGATGTTGGGCAATGTTCGCCCGTCTACGGCGGCTTTCAACTGGGGGGGCAACGTCGGGTCAGCTTGAACTTCTCTCTCTACAATTTCGTGGATCGGAACAGCTTGAAGTTTGAATGTAGACCTGCTTAGGTCGTGCTTACCATACGACGGAATATCTAATGTGTAATGAGTTGTGGATACGGTGTCGAAGCCGAATAGCTTCTTGACGTGGCGGGAATAATGCCCACTTTGCCGATTCGGCCCCATCCCGAACTTCCGAACGCGGGGCATCCCAGCCTCGGCCGCCCAGTAGCATAGCAGGCAATAATCTTCAGCGCTGATCTTTGACGTAGTGTATAGGTTTGCAAGCACCATCAAGAATTCCTCTGCACAATTTTTAGCCATGTCCACGATTTCGCCATCCGACTCAAACTCACCGCCCCATGATGCCCCATGCACCGTCGTCGCCGTCGCCTCTGTGGTCGAAGTCGAAAGCACGCGGGCCAGCATCTGCTGAGTCTTCCCAAGGGTGTGCTGGAAACGCCTCGGACATATGTCAAGTAGCTAGAGCCAAAACGGCTATTACAGTGATGGTGATGGCGAATGTGGCGGTGGATTGAATGCCTATGTGTCAAACGTACTTGTCTGTGCACGTGCGGGGCCCTGAGAGGAGGAGGAGGAGGAGGAGGAGGAGGAGGATGAGGAGGAGGGAGAGCTGGAGGAGGAGGTAGAGGAGAAGGAACAACAACAACAACTCGACCTCGAGGCAATGTCATGCGTCTGAAAGCTGGTAGTGTATAGGAAAAGTGTGCACGTGCCTGTCGCTGGCGCAGGGCCCCCGCGCCATTCCCGCCTAGGATAGGCTATGCAGGCAGGGTGCAGGCTCAGCCTGCCATCAGGGCCTGCATGCAGAAGGGCAAGAGAAACGTCAGAGTCTATCAGTGATGGGCTGTTCCTAGGAGAGCTGCACGGTCGAGCACTAGAGGCGCAAGAACCTCCCACCGAGGCCCGAGGGGGGGATTCTGGGCCAAAAACCAGCGTCAATATTTTCAAAAATTTTGACGCTCGATTTTGGGCTGTTCACGGCCCTATCTACACGCACACTGAGAAAGCCCGTTAACAAACATGTAATATCGCGCATCATGCACCCGTCGGGAGACGCGTCGAGGAGGATCCTACTCCTCCTCATCCTCCTCCTTCTCGTCCTCCTCCTCCTCCCCCCTCTTCAAGTGTGAGAATCAACCCCAGGAAGGCCCAGCACGCCCATCAGGGTAAATTGTGCTACATTGTGTTCTAGTCGCTGCTGTGCCAGCATGTGGCCACACACGATTTTACCGAGCGGACGGAAACGTGCTGGTAACCGGAGGTCTGGAACCCTGGCCATGATGTCGACGCTGGCGTAGTGGGGAGGGCATGCCGGTTTCCCGATCGTGAAAAAAACGAAGGGGGCTGGCGAAAGCCGAGTTGTTCAGGTTTTGGTTGCAGGAGTGTGGCTGCGATGAAGATGAAACTGATGATGATGCTGATGATGATGATGATGATGCTGATCATGATGATGATGATGATGATGTTGATGATGATGATGCTGATGTGCTGGTTTGATGTGTTGTTGATGTTGGTGATGATGATGTTGTGTTGTTTTGATTGTTCCATCGCGCGTGCGCGTGCGTACTCGTACGTGCGTTTGGCATGCATCAGACCAATTCATGTGTAGCTTCTTGCCTCAACTTCCGTGTCTCCGCGTCAAGCAGGCAGGGGCGCGAACCGGGATTGTGATGGCACCGTCAAGCACGAGACAAAGCTGCCGCGGCCACCCCGAAGCTCGCGCGGGCTCAGTCAGGCCCCTCGAACCAGCCAGAAACAAAATCATGAGAAACTCATGGAAAAAATCAGTATGATTTTTTCGCCCCGCTAGAAACATTCGTCGAAAAAAAAATCATGATGATTTTTTCATGACAAAAATCATGAGGCGATTTCTGGCTGGATCTGGAGCTCGGGGCACTGACGCGCCTCGGGCGGCCGACAAAATGGCCCACACAGTGACATCAACCTAAATACAAATGACGACACTGCTGGCTTGTTCACGGCCTCAGGCCGCCGAAACCGTTGGCTCTCGGGAGTGTCTTCAGTCGAGGTCCGAGGAGTCTGTGTACATCTTGATGATCGTGTTGTGCTGCTTGGCGAGCTTGTTAAGCTCACCTTTCAGCGTGACAAAGTGCTCGAGCTCGGTTGTGAGGACTGCTGCGGTGTGACTCTTCTTGGTCTCGCTCAAATCCTTGATGAGCAAGTTCGTGCCGAATGGCGTGGCGCTCTGCTCCACCTTCGCTTTCTGGTCAGTGAGGGCCCCTACGAAGTCAGGCGAATTGAAACGTTTCCAATTCTTGTCGTTGCTCGTCTTGATCGTATCGATGAGGGAAGATGCTGACCCCACGGTGTTGTGGTACAGTTTCTTGGTCTGCTGGGCCGAGACAAAAAGTTTGTCCAAACCGTCGGGCTGGGCTCCATCGGCAACTCCTTGAACTGCATCGCCAGTGCCGTTCTTGCCGTTGGACTTGCGTCTGGCCTTGGCCTTATCCGTAGCCGTGGGCGCGTCGGGGCAAGCCTTGTCCTCCGCCTGTGCACTGGACCCGCCCGTCTGAGACTGCGTGTAGGACTCCCATTTCTTTGCGAGGATCGTGCGGTGCTTCCGCTCCAAGTGGAAGAAGTTGATCTCCTCCACCATCTCATCGTCGACCACCCACCCGCCCTTCATGGCCATGCACTTGTCGGCGTACTTCTTGGCGCGCTCCAGGGCGCCCTCAGGGTCGAAGAAGAAGCCCATCTTCTCTACCAGAACAGCGAATGGTACGTATGTGCCAGTCTCCTCGTCTACCTCCTGCCACTCGTTCGTCTCCTTCTTGCCGTGGGTGATGCTATCAAGCTGCTCCTTGGCCCATTGAATACGGAACTCCTTCTTTGCGTCGTTTGTTTTCACGCCCTCATCGCCTCGTCGTTTCACATACGCCTCGAGCTTCTTGGCGTTGTCGGTGCCTGGCTTGTGAGCGGTACTGAAGCGTTGACCAAGGCCACTACGAGGTTCCACTGTGTTCGTCTTCAGAGCGTCCGTCATCTGCACGATGAGCTCCTTTGTCTTGGCGCCCACCTCGTTCGACATCGTGGGCTTGACCTCTGTCGCTTTCCTGAACTCCTTGGCGTAGGCCTCGGCGACGTGCACGATGACCTTGGACAACTCGTTGTTGTTGCTGCCGGTTGCGGGAGGGGGCGCATCGGATGAGGCGACGTCCTCGCCATCTGTGCCGACGTCTTCGCCAGCTGCCAGGCCGCCATCTTTGCCACCATCACCGAGGTCGTCGTCGATCTGAATTGCCGTTGGACGTGCCAGTGGAGATGCTGAGTTTGCCTTAGCCATTGGAGGTGCGAGTGAGTCGGCACCACGAGAACCCGTGCCGTACTTACTCCAGTACTCATCGTAATGCTGCTTGATCATGTCTGCATCGGTCGGAATGCCGTTGTCCGCAAGTGCTGCATCAGTTTGTTCCTTGGCGGTCTTGGCGGTCTTGGCGGTCTTGGCCTTGCCGCATCCCTGGCTGACAGCGGCCCGCTTCGGGGTCATTGTGCGGTGGATGTCTTAAGAGCACAACTCCTCAACAGTTTGAGCCTGAAGGGCTACTTACTCACCCAGACGTCGTCCCCGCCATGCGTTTGGGGTCGCCACCTCCAGCGGTCCATGACCACAGGACGGGACGACACACGCGACCAAGGAAAAGGAAAGAGTGCGCAGCATGGTTCTAATCACGCTGAACCATGTTGGGATAGGAGGAGGAGGAGGAGGATGAGGATGAGGAGGAGGAACAGGATGTCCTTACAGGTTCTAGGCTAGCTCAGGGCAGGCGCGTGGCTCCTGCATGGGCTCGACGACAGCTCTTGTTCGGATGATCGTTGCGATCGATGACGATGACGATGGAGCTTTACTTCCGATACCACCTTCCCCAAGGCAGCGCAAGGCATCCTGCGCTCTTGAAAGCTGGTCTGCATGGGGCTACTTTGCCACGTGCATCGCTAGCTGCTCGGCCATCGTCGTGGCTGGAGGCGCCCCCATGGTCAGTGTTGGCGCTGGCTTCTTCGAGCCATGCGAGGTCGTGTCGACTGCGGCTGTCGGCCGCTTCCTGGACACCGCGGCACGCGGCTCCGCGCTAGGCGTGATTGGCGTGCGCAGCGTGCTAGCCTGGCTGGCCCCCAAGCTGGCCTCACATGCCGAAGGTCTCTTATTTGCAGCCTGCCCGCCCTTGCCCCCCCTGATCTTCTGGACGCCAGCTTCTGCCAGCAATTCATCACGACGACTCTGCAGATCCGATCGCCGAACGCGTCCGTAAGCAAAGTCCTTGGCGAGAGTGGTCATCAGTTTCTCGGCTTTGGCCCGAGACTCAGGGCTGTCCTCGTCCCCGAACCATTTCATCGCGACTTGCATCCTCTGCTGACCCTGCTCGTTCACCACCAAGAGCAAGCCCCTGTCTTTCTTGTATCTCACGTCGACGCGGCGGTGCGACACGACGTGCTTTGCCGTGAACACTGGAGGCTGACCAGTAGTTGCCCCCCCCCCCCCACTCTTCCCCTGCAGGCTTTTGAAATACTCGTAGGTAACGCAAGTGATCTCCTTCGTCGTGCCGTCCGCCCACTTCGCATGGATGGTGTTGTCATCGTCCTTGGCCCATGTCTCCATTGCCGTATCTCTGTGCTGCTTGGTGTCGTTGATCTTGATCCTGTAGGCGATGTTCAAGTCCTTGTCGAAGTGGAAGGAGTATTGTTGTTCCCCTCCTGCCGTCGCGCCAGCTGGGCGTCTCGCGGCTGCTGGCCTCTTGAGGACGGGCTTCTCAGTCTGGTAAGTGCCGTCCGTGCCGCCCTCGCCGTAGTCATCACCGTCCTCGGTTGACTTGTCTTCTCCTTCCTCTTCTTCTTCTTCTTCAGCTTCGTCTTCCTCTTCCTCCTCGTCCTCGTCCTCGCCCTCCTCGCTGCCGTCGGCGTTCTCGCCACCATCTCCTGGTGCCCCTGGAACAGGCATCGCTGCAATCACATCGTCCTCTCCTGCGGCGTCAGCTGCGTCTTGATACCACGGTAACTCTTGGACCCATGCTGGCGGACTATCTTTCGACGAGCCTTGGGCAACGTGCCGACATGCGTTTGCGATGCGATTCGTCATCGCCTCGACCCAGGAATCCTTGAACTTCATGTGCAGCGCCCACTGCTGCGCCTTTTCAGTAAAGACCTGCTTGAACGCATCCTTCAGCGTTGACTTTTTGAATAACAGACGGTTGTCCAATTTGTACAGGTCGTGCAGGAGAGGGTGCATTTTCTTGATCAGGTCCGTACGTAGTTTACTGGCTTGGACTTGTTTGCTCTCATCGTACTTGATGAAATTCTTGTGCAGCGCATGCCGCAGCAACACTCCAGCTACTTCACCTGCTGATTTTGCGGAGCGAGGGCGATCGGGCATACGTTCGGAAAGAAACAATCCTCAAACCATCTGGCAGGTGATCTTTGAGCCCAAATGGCTACGGGTGGTGGCTATGCTTTATGATTTTCCGTGTGGTGATGATGACAACGATGTTTTGTGGCGGCGACGGTCACGACGAAGGTTTCGCTGTGCTAGGCCAGATGAGGCCTGTTAGCTTACCCCAAACAGTTCAGCCGTGCGACGCGCGGATACATTTAGGCCTAGGAGTCCAGGCGTAGGATCCCGAGCTGCAATCGCTGTAGGCCACAGGGGCCCACGCAGATGAGTCCACTCATTAGAGTCCAAGCAAGAAAGGCCGAACCCGACAGACATGTCCAGTTCGCTAGAACACATTTTACAAATTCTTAGTGCATCCACTGTTTGAGGAACGTCTGAATTTATATTCCCTCGAGGCCACCCGAATATCCTCTGCCATCTCGCCAATTCTAGGCACATGAGGACGCTAGCATGTAAGGCAGCACGCCGAATGAACACGAATCGAAACCACGCCGCCTTGTCGGGAAGTTTGTTCTGAATAGCTGCGCCCGACACCCGACCCCCCTGCGTGGATGGACAGCGCCGAAAGGAGGGAGGGATATAGTATGGAAGGGGAGTTGGCATAGTCTTTTTCTCGAGCTGGAACAACCGACTGGGCTCATTCGTTTTGGAATCCGCCCTCCCCCCACCCCCTCTGCTGCAGGGACACGATCGGGGTCGCCTACCACTGGGCCTCATAGAGGCCAACTGAAGACGCCAGACGTCGAAAAGAGCGGGGGGGCTGCGGAAGCTGGGGCTCGTGGCGCCTATAAGGCGATCGCTTAGTATCGAAGCTGTTTCCAATGGGAAACCATACAACACGTAAACCCCTCAAGAAAAACACCAGGCACGATGAGATGGAGACACTTGTGAGGCTTTGGAATGATTAATTTAGGAGTTGTAACACGTTTTAGGAATCAACGGACGAATCCTATTTTTAGGAGGCGGTGGACCACAGGGGCCGCTGGCCGCCGCTGGCGCCGGCGCGAGGGGGGTGGGGTTTGAAACCCCCCGCCCCTCGCCCCGGCGCCATGGGTGGGCCGCTTCTGGCCATCGTCGCTGCGCCCCCGCCGCGGGCGCTGCTGGCGGCCGCCAGCGCCGGCGCTGGCGCCGGCGCCGGCGCCGAGGGGGGCGGGGGAGAGGTTTGAACCCCCCTCTTGGGAAGGGGGGGGGCGGCATCGGGAGGGGGTGGGGGGTGGGGGGGGGCCGGCGTTGATCGACGGCGCCGAGCGCTGGGGCGGGGGCCCGCCCCCCGGTTCGAAACGCGTTGCCGAATGTCCCCGAGGCAAGCGCCCGTGAAACGCGTTCTCTCTATCTTGAGCTTGCCGAAGCCACTGGAGTGCGGGAACGCGTCGTTTGCTTTGCGCTACCACTTTGATCAGCAGCTGCGTTACGAACCCTTCCTGGGCTCGAAATGCGACGAAAGTCGACGCTGTTTGCAGTGCTTAAGGCCAGGCGCCAGGACGAAGGACGCTCCGCGCGCCTCCCCCCTGAATCTTCGCAACATCACGCGCCGCTTCGGCTTGCAAGCCGCATCTTATGACGAGGTGCTCGAACGGCGGAGGCGCCCACTGACTACCTCACACGCGGACGACATCAACACGACTGCAAAGGAGGAAACTATCGATCGCAACGTGAAGTGCGTCGAACAGTTTCGGCGCATGCAATCTTAACGAGCAGACTTGCACCAACTGTGCTGTCATATATACGCAGACGCTGACGCCCAGGAACCCGCCGACGCCCAGGCGCGGCGGCTGGATGCAATTCCGCGGAAGTTGCAGAGCCAATTTCAGAAAATAGTCTACCCGGCAATGAAACCCATTGGAGAAGTCGACCTACGCAGCGACTCCGGCTATCGACGATTGACGGGGGCGCTGGGGGCGAGACGAAGGGTCATGGCATTGCAGGCGCCAACCTATTCGGGCGCGGACTCACGCGCAATGGTGCATCCGTCGCACGCCCGATAGACGCCTACTGCAAGTCACATCGACTGCGCGTAGGATCAAGCTACTCTGCGGAGACGCTTGCAGCAGCCCATAACTTAGAGGACTGCTACCCGACCACTGTTGCTCCACATGAGCTAAAAGCGGGACCGCCTACACCCGCGCAACTCATCAATATACTTGAAATGGGTGGTCTCTGCATCTAAGTCACCCTCACCACTGATGCAGAGGCGGCATTCGAATCCTTGTCCACCAAGGACCTTAAGAAGCCTGCAGAATGCACATCGCTAGGACACGTCAGCTGGATAATACAGATGATGGACAGACGTACCATGCACAGCACACAACGGTGCGACGCACGGGACATGACTGCCGATGGACATACCAAAAGCAGTATAGAACGGATCCACTACAAATAAGGGTGGGAGTACAACCCTTTCAATGCGGGCTGAAGACTTACAACCTTACAGGCCCCCACCCCGAAGGTAGAGCCAGGCTCGCGACGAGCCGGCGGAATGTTTCCGTTTGGCGTGGAAATATGCGTTGAGACAAGCTTGTTTTTCTTTTTGCATTATGCCAGTGATTTGATATTTTTCTGCGTTGTCTGCGCCTTTGGGTCCTTGCCGCGCGGGCCCCGCAGGGCTGCCGCTGGCATTTGGCCGTGCCAACCCCTGCCGTCAATTTGCGGTTCGATAGCGGTTCTGTGCTGGATCGTGCCCGCCACCTCTTCGCAGGTCCAGCCTGGCGCTGGCCGGCTGAAGTTGACTCGCCTTGACACGAGTGCTCGTGCGTTTCGGCTCGCGCTGCTCATTTCCTCCCCCCTAAATTCTGAAACAGGCATACGAGGGTGTGTGTGTGTATGTATGTATGTATGTATGTATGTATGTATGTATGTATGTATGTATGTATGTATGTATGTATGTATGTATGTATATATATATATATGTATATATATATATATATATATATATATATATATATATATCCCTGGGGGCGAGGCCGGGGACCCCAGGACAGGTGCCTCCACCCCCCATGGCGGGACCGGGGCTCATTTTCCATGTGTTTTTACAGGGTTTCCGCGTCCTGGGCCTCGGAGGCCGCCGCCTCCGACCCCCCATGGGCCAGGAGGGCCTCCAGAGGCTC